CCTTCTTTATGCCAACATCGCTGGCCTTTTTTCTATTTAAAGTATATAAATATTTTAACTTAATAAATGCGGCATCAAGTTTTTTGGCGCCTGCGGCCGACTAGTGAGCGGCTGCTGGTGCTGTCTACGACAAGTGCTGAGCATACAAAACCCAAACATTTGCATAAACTAAGACGGTAGGTCTAGGGCGCCACTTAGTTCGCCACTGAATTAGAGAAGGGCTTGATGTTTTATCGCAATTTCAGTTCTTTATATTAATGGAAAAATCTCAGTAATATAAAAAAACATGTATATAAGAAGGAAATATCTCATACAAATGTCTAATTTTATGATTCTGATACGAATAATTAATCAAAGTTTAGGCCAGCTGCATGTTTCGAAAAAAAATTTAAAAATATTAAACACTTTTTATGAAGCAGATGATTATAGATGGAAAAAGCGTGAAATATAAAACTCATATGCTGTGTAAGTATAAGAATTTTTAAAAAATAATATTCCGCTCGTGGAATACTGAACTTCCAACCTACAACCAATTCGTAATATGCTTTTAAATCCGATAAACATCATGTAATTACATATAGTGTTACCAAAAGTATAATTTCAGTTGGTATTTTCATTTCCCACCAACTGTTTTAGCGAGAAGAAACTACGATGACACTATAACAACGAAAACAAAGCATCCAAGTACTCATACTTGAGCCAACATCAAAGGGCAGTTATTAGATCTTCAATTTGTAAATTAATTCACAACAAATAAGAGAGTAACAAATATGAAAGCAACAAAAAACATGCCTGTTTCTCACGAGACCATCTCTAAGCGGCAAGGAAAGGATTTGTTTTGTTTTGCACCCTGTTTATGTTTGCTCAAAGAAAGACCCACATTTTCAAGTTATAGGAGGCTCGAAGGCATGAGCCAGTATGCCGCTGCCCTTTACTAGACTCTTTCTTAAAGCGTTTTCATTGAAATGGTTGTGCAAACACGCGCACAAGACAAATGACCCAACTTAAAGTTGCAATACAGGTAATTTTGGTAAAGGTTCTGACAGCAGCATTAACGGCTAATAGCCGCTGAGCTCTTAACAGCGGCAAGAACCTAAGACGAATTTAAAGTATATGGGCAGCGGCTGTGCGGCTTCCGGCCACTCATCCCAGAACCTACAACCAACACGTGCGGCAGCTGCCTCATCTTCATTTTCATATTTATCGTTGCGGTGTCAAACATTCAATGACCTGGTCCATTGCCAAAATGTCCGGAACATGTAAATTGTCTGTGAAATATACGGCCGTAACAGACATCGGCTGTGCTAAGTGATGCGCAAATATTATGGAAATAAAAATCAAAATCAAAATAAAAACAAGCATAGCAAGAGCCAGTCGAGTGTCTGAGACAAGCTTATGGAAAACCCTATAGGGCTCGATGAGTGTATTCTTAGCCATTCGCAACAAATAGTGAATTATGCTGCGGACAGACATAAAATATTGCGCATGGCTGCCTTTTTACAATCGATACATAAAACATTAAGAACACGCTTAAGAATTCTCTTGAAACGGGACCAGGTACTTTACATGTGGAAGCAAGATGAAGCTCAACAAGTCACACAAAAATATAAATAAGATATGTATTTCGAGATCTTTATTTTAACGCCGTTGCCTGGCGTGCGGAAATTGTTGCCGCCTTTTAGGCAACAGTCAGCAATATATGAGCATTGCTTGTTGTTGTTTTTGTTGTTGTTGTGCATCAACGTTTATTAGATTAGGCTATACTGTTGTCGTTGGTTACATGATTACGTGTGTGTTTGTGTACACGCGTTTTTACGGCTGTTTAAATCTTTTTATCTTCAGTTGTCTATGTAAACATGTAACTGATTTGCATATGTTAGGCACGAAGATCCCAAAGACACGCGCCAGCTGTGCGCTTCCGGGCCCACAATTGAAGCAAATTGAATTCTTAAGATGACATTGCCTATTTCTATATCAAAATGTACACTTACAACATTTGCATTAACAACAAAAACACGCGCAAGCTGCAAACAACCCTGCAAACGACCCTAAAATAAAGCCAGCAGCCCCAAAAGGCTAATGACATTGCACGTTTTAAGGTCGAATGCGCGTCATTGCGCTAGCTAGATGACTATAAAAATCGCTGTTAAAAAAAGTTCATCATTCCTATGTCCACTTAAACAATTTTTTCGCTTTCTTTAAACATTGTAAACATTGATTGAACAATCTAAGCCAGTTAAATTTGAATGGAATAATTTGCAGCTATCATTTTTTTATTTTTTTAAAGAATATATACAAAATAAATGCATCGTTTGATTTTTGCTTTAATTATTTTAAATAATGTACACATACGAATATCAAACAAGCTCATATTTTGTGGCAGCCAATGCTTTCGATGCAAACAAATAAATATGCAAATCATCAAAACAAACCATCAGCGTTTGCAATGGGCGACATAAATAAATTGTGATATTAAACATTTACGATTTTACATTAAAATTTACACAAATATCTGTGAGTTGTGTGTTGTTATGGATTATCCGATTTGCCAGTTCTATGAATCACGGAAAGCATCAAACACTTGCATGCCTCTTTCCACAATCAGAACAGCAATTTATTAATTAATTTATGGTTTTATTAATTTTTTAAATGTTAGTTTTAGGACTCAATTTTTCATAGCTGACGGATTCCTTCAACCAGCCAACAGAAATGCTTATCTATTAGCTAGAAATTCAACATCGCTTCCATAAATTCGTATATATAAACCACAAACGAAAATTTCAATAACATTGTTTATAATTCAAAAAAGCACAAAGTACAATTCCAAGGAAGACAAGGGAGAATGTAACAAACCCGCAATACCCTGTACCCAAAAAATACTACCACCACTATGTTAAATGGGCAGAGTAGAAGTAGAAAGATGAAGAAGAACAGCAGCACCCGAGGTTGCAGTTTATTGCGGCAGTTCTTAAGCAAAATTGTTTTCGTAATGACTTTTCTTAGAATTTAGAATATAGTGTATGTAGCATTGAGATTATGACGAAATTATGTAGGACGGAGGGTAAAATAAAGTCGTGTTGCCAAGGGCGTAGGCAGCTTTTACTAAAGGGGGGCCAACAAATTACAATTTTGATTAAATAATGCACGATACATTTAAAAACTAACTTATGCATATGATCAATGAAAAAACTTCAACAAATCCACTCCTACTCCATAATGAACGTGTGGTCGACTTTATATGGCAACATTTTTCTGCCTACGCCCTTGCGTTTTGCCTAGGAATCACGAGAGTCTACATACCAAGCGTGGTTAATGTTGGCTTTGCCGTTTTCTAAATGAGAGCGGACAGACGATTTGTCTGCAAAAGCCTTTTTACCCCTAGGGTTCAAGATACATACAAAGTACAGCAATATTCTTAAATTTAAATCAAGAATCGTGAAGCAATTGTTACAAGCCGAATTATCAAACGGATGGTTGACTTCCACCCAAAGAAACTAGGCTCTTTTATAATCAACAACAAACCTTTAACCTTCATAAAGTCAATTTTATTTTCTGAAAACCAGTTTTTTCAATTCTTCCAACTTGCCTCTTTTATGTATTCAGACAATTAATTTGATATTTATTATTCTGTAAATATATTAAAGATATTTAATGCTAAATGTTAAAAGGAAAAAAGTTATCATTTCAAGCATCTGCAACCTCTTGTGCTATATCCGTCGCTATATCTCATTAACAATTCCAAAACTGGGGCAACACAAAATTAGTCAAGCGATACAAGTGCGTAAAAGCCCGCAAATGCATAAACGATGCACATATATGGACGAGTATAATGTTTTGTCAATTCAATTTGTAATTTGTAGAATTACGTAGCATTTTATGCATTTTGTAATGTTTATGACTGTTTAATGACTTTCGTTCGGAAAATATTAAATTATACCTTGGGCAGCATTCGGAAATATGAAATGACAAACCGCAGTGTCCAACGAGTGGTAGCGGCTGTAAATGAGAAATTCAATCAATAACTAATTTCCGCAACAAGTTTTAAAGCCGACCGCCGTTGATTGCCATTTTATTGACGCCCACAGCGCGAGAGCGTTGAATATTTAAAACATTTCATTTGCGCATAATTAGTTTAAATTTTAAATGAGTGAGCCATGGCCCAACTGCTCAAAATTAGCTTTACTCGATGACAAGACGGTTTACAATATGAGTTTGTACATTTATGTTAAGCTCGTAGCATGGCCAATGCCTTAAAGCACCTTTTGAGTCGTGGAAGCCACTTGAGAGCCAGGCCTAAAATAAACTGAAATGCTGAAAACATTTCCGGCTGTCACACTCGAATTGACGGCCTAAAGGGCACACCAAATTAACACCTCAAAAGTAAACTCATACGTGTGCATACCTCGTACCCCCGTGCTTCGAGAAAAAGACCGAACATTGATTTAACGAACTGGCGAAAGGTCAATGGGAACGAGTCGTCAAGTATGCCACTTGACATTGCAACGGAGCGTCAGAGCAACGCTCGAATAAAATGCAAGACAGTAAATCGTAGATCGTCCGAAATCGAATATGCCGCGGGCCGACGGAGCAAGCCAAACAATATCGAGTGCCACTCCAAGTGACAGCTTCTACAACAACAAGGCGAGCCAAATTCCGGGCCAAAGAGTTTGCTTTTTTCATTATTATTATCGTATGAGCTCCACTCGTACCTACAATGTTTACATACGAGTGTATGAATTTGTTGATGATTTTTAATTAAGTTTAAGACAACTCAACTGGAAGCAGTCGAAAAAGTTTTTGGCTATAAATTGCCCAACACGCTAGCCATAAACCATCAAACAGTCAACGCAACTTTTAATTGCAACACGCAACTCCCGCGGCAATCATCCGTTAACAAGAATTCTGTGAAAAATGGTGTGTGCTGATATAAGAATCTTTTTGTTTTTTCATTCGCTGATGCCTGGAGGTCTAATGCGGACGTGAATATTTCATCTTTGCAGAAAATCTTTGCGCTTGGTAGTGTCCTCACTTTCTCGGCCGTAGCCAGTGCCGCCTTCGCCTCGCCCCTCTCCAGCCTCCGGCAGCGTCGCGATGTGTCCGAGTTGGCCACCAACTCGGCGGAATATTTGCCACCTGCTGCCGATGCTGCCGATGCTGCCATCCTTCCTGAGCCTGAGAGCGCCCCATTGGGTGATGAGGGCTACGAGTATCGTGCCGTGCGTCGCCTGAAGCTGCGCCATCGCAATCGCCGCGATGTCTCGCACTTGCCACGTCAATACTTGCCACCGAACAACATGTACCTGCCGCCCGCTGCCGCCGATGATACCGAAGAAGTCATCTCTGCTGCCGAGCCAAAGGTGGCACGCGAGTATTTGCCACCTACTGTGGAGCAAACGGAAGCGCCCGAAACCGAAGCGCCCGCCACAGAGGCGCCTGCTGCTGACCTGGAGGAGCCCGATGTACGCGTAGTGGATGTTCCACAGCCCAGCGGTGAGCTCCTGGACGATGGCTATCATTATAATAAACCAGCTGAAGTGCCCACTCTACGTGAGGCGACCATGGAGTACTTGCCACCGGTGGCACCACCAGTCGAGGACGAGGAGAGCGTGGTGGTTGAGGGACCCGCCGATGGAGCAAGCGCTGCACTTGCCCAGGACGGCTACCATTATCGTGCGGTCAGACGGTACAGATTTTAGATTTTTTAACTGATTTGCTTTGTTGTTTGTTCGCTAACATTTATATTAAATCCATTAAATCGAATATTTGAGACAAGATTGGTGTATTTTCTTTAATAAAAACATATGAAGACTATCAAGGAATAACCTTTTTCTAATACTGATTAAAGCCACTGAGTATTTCACTATACTTAATATCAGTTCAATTACACAGTATTGACTATTGATTTTAATTGTAATTTGTTTACCAGCCTAGAAGTCCGGCACCTGTTAAATTAATTTATATAAAGCTTTACACGTTTTTTTGACAAAGTAATGAAACTTTAAAATCAGTTTCATTTCATTTATTGACAAATATCGTTACATTATTTACTTAATTAAATATAAAGTGTGTTTTTACAATTTATGAGTGAACGGACAGTTTCTAATATGTAACAAAAGCGGGAGAAAAAAATTAATCAAAAATCCATGAGTAAATAAGTTTGCTAAGAAATGTTCAGATATTTTTGTAAATATTTTTATTCAGATATTATTTTGTTTATTTAAAAAAATATATTGTTGAAGCATTAAAACATTGAATCCGTTTGTGAAATTTGTTGTTCTCAAACGGAGCAAATCTTGTATAAAATATTGCGGTTTTAAAAATTAAAACCTATTTTACTTAGTATGTTTACAATTTTAAAAGCAATCATTTTCATAAACACAAATAGAGCAGTGCAAGCTATTTTTTGTGTATGTTTGGGGCTTTAAATTACAAAGTACCATATTTTATTAAAATTCTTAGAAACCTGTACTGGATCAACCATGAACAATATATAGTTAGGTTATACTTTTTCGATAATCTGCACTCCCCAGTCTCAGAATTTGATAAAGCCGACTTCAATTTATAGTTTTTGTTGCTTTATACAAGCGAATATATTTCTCACAATTTTAAATTGATACACTGATTGATAGAAGAAATAATAATGTCTAAAACATCAAAATCTTTAACATCTACTTGAATAGGTGCCAGGCAACATTAAAACCTTTAAATTTATGGGTCTTGGATGTAAATGTAATTGTTGTCGTAAACGAATCATTAGATTATATAATGATAGTTAATTGAAAACTAAATTGCCTGCTTTTTGACACTATTTCCGATACATTTTGCAGTTGTGCGAAATTCCTCTCACATTTTCCAGATCGCAATATCGTTTTAAATTTTTAAGCTAGTCTAAACGTTTGGTCACATATTGTAACATTTAAGTACTGTACGAAACATATGAAATTCCGAAAACGAAGCGCAGATTTTTTTAACAAATATTCCCATCGTGCGCCCACGTCTCACCCGCATTTATGCAGCATGTTTCTTTACACATAAATATGTATTTAGTTGACTTTACAGCCATATGATCAAAGTTTGCTTTTAGATTTTGTAAATGCGTAGATATTTTCCGGCTTTTATGACTGCCTACGTGCTTTGGTATTCGCAACCAACGCTGCGTATACGCAACATGTTCTTCGAGCATTGACGAGAATCGCCCATTTATTTGGCTTGATAGTTCCGTGTGCCTACCTTTGGTACCTTAAGGGCCAGCTTACTGCCAATAAGTTGGCGTCATTAAATACACATTTTATAAGGTACTATATCCCAGAATGAACGAAAGTTGCTGCTCGTGGTTTGGCCGTCAATTGTGGTCATGAGGCCGTTCTTAGCATACTTAGCAGGAACCACTCTGCCAAAAGCTGCTCCCACTAGTCGACTTAAGCCTTTTACCCGCCGTCCATGTTAAATCATTGTGGCCATTTAACGTTTTATGTCCATGTTCATGCCTCTGCCACGGCCTCTGCCCCTGCCGTTGAAAGCTGTCCACGTCATGGTTACCATGGTGGACTTTATGCTTAATTAATGCTCTTGCGCGTTAATTCAACTTAACTGCCCGGCGAGCACAGACAGAACAGCAACAACAACAAGCAGGAATGAAAACATTAAGTGCTCACTCGAGTTAAGTTCCTTGGCTTGTTGCTGAACGCTTCAGGGCGAAAATCGGAGATAATGGCACGCGCACATGCTTTTCAATTTTTATTTTCATTTCCACTTTTTTTCGAAGTTCCACACTTTCTGCGGGCATTTCTTAATTAACAACTCAATTGCATAAAAAACAATTTGGTTTGCATTTTTCTCGAGCTGTGGCTGGCAAGTGAGGCGAGAAAATGAGATTGCAACATTTTACAACCGCTTCAACAACTCAACAACATTTTGTAACTATTCCGAAAACAATTTGTCAAGCATAGCACTAAAAAAAGAAAAATTCTATTATTTATTTGTCCAATAATGGGTGTTCTGAGTGCTCTGTGTCTGACAGCCCGCTTATTGCATATTAAATTGTCTGCGTCGAATTTCAGACTTCAAATCAAAGCAGCAGTCAAACAACACAACCATATTCACAGCAACCATGAAACTATCTAAAAGGACTCTACAAGGCCACTATTGTTGAGCATGTTCCATAGCTTTCATAAAATTACCAATATATAATGTGCAAATTATTAGCTAGTCTGAAGGCAAAATCATACGAGGCATATGCACATTTTTTTGAATTCATATTTTATTAATTAAATCATGTCAGCTAATAAAGGCGTTGGCTTATGATAGAATTTCAAAACTGTAAAAGAACCCCATTATATTTTCAATAATGTTTGATAAAATATTATATATAATATTTTATATAATATTTTATATAATATTTTATATAATATTTTATATAATATTTTATATAATATTTTATATAATATTTTATATATTTTATCAAGTCGTCCATCTCGTCCATCCAGCTAAATGACTTCGGACCTTTTATCCTCGAAGATACAACATTTTGAATGTGTTTCTAATAATAATTAAATATTATTTCCTGTATTGTTAAACTCTAATATAGACAAGCCAATTTTTAACTTTTATTATCATTTATTATATTTGAAATAAATCGGATTATATAGAATCAATTAATTGATTATTTCCTAAGCCTAGCTTTCTTGTATAGTTCTTGACATCAAGCAGTCAGTTTGCCTCCTTTTTATAACTTAACATGTCCTTATTTCCTCTCTGTGTAGGGTATAGGGACAGAAAAATTCTAAAGCACACATACAGATGCAGGCAATCAGTAGAAGAGTAGGGCCAGCAAGAAAGACAAAGAATGTAACTGTAAAGTTAAATAAAACATTTTTAAAGTGGACAACAACTGGGTGCTCAATGCGCAATTGTTTCGCACATAATTTAATAAAATTGTCAAATTTTGTACGCAGAATTGTCAAAGGAAATCGCTGGGAAAAATCCAATGTATTTCTCTGACAGCTACCCAGAAATGTTATTAAAAAATATGCATATTTATTTTCTCAATACTGGCAGGCCATAAACATGCACATGCAAACAAACAAGTGTACTTGTATATGGCTATGCACAAATTTAAAAAAAGAGCAACCATTGCTACAGGCTTTAAATCGACGCAGTTTGCAACTTTCTGATATATCGGTCGCTTTACGTACATATGTGCGTACACATCATATTTTTCCATTTCATTCTGACTGTTGCTTTAACTGCTGCTGCTGCTGCGGACCACCTTAAATCCATGTCTTTATGTTTGTGTTTAATGTTGGGTTATTTAAAAATTTAAAGACACATATCGCATGTAAAGGCACTTCTGCACATTTGCACATTTTTATGCAAAGCATAATTAATCAGCAATGCAAATTACGTAATAATACAAAGGATACTCACATTTTTGTACATTTATGTATGTATGTATGTATGGAGAGACACACCCATATATGCAAGTACAAAAATGTAGCTTGTGCTGGGCAAACTTTTAATGCCTGCATAACGATTTGGCGCGTTATAGCTCCTAAGCAATGTCTGTTGCTAATTGAGCTCTAAAAATAACATTACAATTTCTCCTAGCACCCAAGCAAACTTCCTTTGCTTTGCTTCTTCTATATACAAGTATATGTAATGAGTATATACTTTGTTCGTCTTTAAAATTAGAAGTTTAAGAATGTATCGTTTGAGTGCCGCAAAGTTTATTTTGGTCTTGGCATTTTAACATGATTGCGAAAAAGATAAGCTATTTAAAAAAGGCAAAGCTTGTTTGTTCCATTTAGGATTATTTAAACTTAAGCCAAGCCTTCATAAATAAAGTATATAAGAAGTCTGTTCAAATGGTAAGTTGAATTTTCCCTGTTACATTTTTCACCTCCTGCTAACATTTACATTTTATGTACAGAGTATAAAAAAATGGATAATCGAAATTTACACAGCCCAAATTTACCTTTTCCTTTGAACAGACCTCGTATCTTATCAATCCCATGCAAGAACAGTCCCAGGAATATCTGACCCAAATATAAAAACATAGCTGCGCCAAACGCAAACGATTAAACACCAAGCTCGGGAAGCCATGTACTTAGTAACTCACTGCTGCAAAACGTAAAACATTGCTTAAATTAAGGTAAGGTCCATCATCAAAATAAATATTAGGCTCATTAGGGACGATCTTAATGATATATTGAAAAAAGAATGCCTTTTCTTCAAATTTTCCAACAATTTTTAATTTTCGAAAGCTATGGTCAGAATCGCAAATAATTTGCCACCAAATTTTAATTAATTCCAATTTTAAACTAAAATGGAGATATCTGCAAGAACAAACTTATTACGCATTTACTTTTCAAAGCCTAAATAAATAACATATTTTAATAATATTTCCGACTGAAGCATAATAATAATATATCCAGTAAAAGCTAAAATAATATATTTTTGCAATTAGCTGAATACATTTTTAGAGCAGCTTCTAGAAACATTTTTATGTGTATTCTAGCGCTATTAAGGGCAATTTTTGTTTATGAATGTAGTGCTAAACACTTAGTTACACATTTATAATTAAAACATAATTAATTAATAATACAGCCTTTAATTGGTAAAAGTCAAATTAAATGAAAAAGAAGTGAAATCAAGAAAATGTTGAACAAAACCACATTTTAACTTAATTAAAATGTCAGAAGAACAATAAACAAAAAAATTTCAAAAGTCAAAAAAATGTATTGTTGTTTAACACACACACACACACATCTACGAGTATTGGGCAATTGCATTGTGTTTTTACAGGAACACATGTGCCTTCACCAAATCCCCATCATATTACACAATTTTGTGGTCAAGCTATTAATTTTGGTAACGAGGAAATTGAAAATGTCATTTGGTTGGAGGCAATGAAAAATGTGTCGACATGAAAACTTGTGTGTGTGCTTAGGGAAAACATAGCCACACACATACACCAGTCGTCTGTCTTGTCCTTGCGAATCCTGCAGCTCTACATGCAAAATCATGAAACACAAGCCACTAGCATACGCATGTAGGAGTCGGCTTGTAACAACTTACTCGTATAAAGCTGACGATAACAATGAAGCCAATAAAATTCCATCAAATTGTACCGAGAGACACATAAACTGCACGCCAACATTCTTGTAGGCGGCACACAATGCCAAAATCACAACAACAAAGCAATTAGTTAGAGAAAGCAGAGCAACAAGTTTTTTGAGCCATCCAAGCAACCAGATGGCCCCAAAACTAATTGGCCATTTCTGTAATCCGAGGACAAGTGTTTCAAATTTTATGGTACATTTCTTTGATAAGCTTGTTGTCGTTGTTGTCGTTGTTGTCGTTGTTGCCACCCTGCCGACGGCCATTCGTAGAAGCCTAATAATTAACCAATTATATACCTGGCCCACTTGAAGGCTAACGATTCATTTTTCCCAGCTCAAGGACCCTATGTGGTCCCTTAAATAGTTCAGTAGTCACCGTGGCTTGCATCCCAATAAAATTTGCCATTTAATCTGTTATATGTGTTATGTAGCATAATTTACCTATTTCATATATTCGGAGTATAAATAGAAATTATATCGGCAACATACTCGTACTGGTCTTCAATTTTAAAACGATTTACATATCTTTACTCTTTAGTGAAGAGTGTAATTGTTTTTGGAAAGTAAGTTTGTAATACCTATTATACTTGTAGTTATTAGGAGTTATACTACATGAATACAAATATGTATGATAAGCATGACGAAACGAACTCAAATCACGAAAAATAAGGAAAATATGCTGTCAAATGAAAAATTAAATGCACAGTATAATATACCGTGTGATAAGTTGAAGATAATTTCTTAGCTTTTTTAAGGTTTATTTGGATTAAAATGCATTAGGTTCAGAATAGAAAAACCTTTTGTATGAAATTTTGTGATCGGCTTAAAGTCCATTACACAAATTTAAAAATGTATACTTGCCACAAAATGTATTGCTTTAGCGCCAATTATTTTAAATACCGATTAAATTGTAATTTTTTCAGTTCGAAAATTATTAGAAATTATAATCATTTGATTAGTATTCGCTTAGGTTTGTTCTTGCAAACAAAGTAATGAGTCAAATTAACATTTTCGATTTAAATTTAACGAAAGTACTCGCACAAAACACTAACAAAAAATTACCTTACTAATACTATATATTTTGTTATGAGAACTTGTTAACATTCAGTAGGGCTGCCGAATTTTCAGTTCGTGCTTAACGCGACCTGTTGTTAAGACTTAGTTATGATCATATGAAACAAAAGTATATTCTTCTAATATGAGTGCCTAATCGGTTTTAAAACAATCTAGAACATTGTGATTTATGCGGTTGTGCAACACGTAAACTTACCTGTTGGCCCTTTGCCTAAGCCCTTTGTAAGTAATGTAAGTATCTCGCTCCCGTTTTTACAGAAAAACAAGCACACCGCACACGCTTTAAGCAGCCTCAGGCCAGGGACACTGTTTCAAAACTTTCATTTGCAGCAGCGCTTGGTTAAACATTGGTTATTCATAGCTCAGAACTGTACAAATGAGCGAGGCATTAAGTTAACCCTCGACAGAACTATGCACACATCAAAACGTAATGAAAACTCTGCAAAAATGGGCAAGTTTTCTTTTCCCCATTTTTTTTTGGTTTTGGTTTTATCAAAAGGGATGGGACAGGCAGGGACCGTCAGTTTAGGTAAAAGGCCACAAAAGTGGATCGTAGACTTCGAGCCAAAGATAACAACCAGCTTTGGGCATATAAACACGTACACAGTGGGCCTGGCAAATATGGCGCCAACGAACCACTTCTAAGTAACTATAAAGCACTATAGACTGCATCGAGACCGACACACACTCAGATACAAACGCGTACTCGTGGGCATCAGGCAGACAGACGCACGTACGATTACGTGGAATTTGACTTTGACTGGAAGCTGTTTGTGAACTATGGGCGTATACTCGCGTGTTTGTGCATGGCCTTTCACTGGGTTACCTTGGCATTCAGGCACAACAGGCATACAGTCACCTGCTTGCCCACATTTGGAACAGGGCGTTGTAGTCGACGAAGTGAAATAAAAAATAAACGCATATTGCGTAAATTTTGATGTCAAAGGTGGCGCAGGACGCCAAAGTCAGGTGCGTGTGCGGCACTTATGAGTGCCACTTAGTTCGGGCTAATACCCATCATTAGAGTATTTAACAGGAAACACGTGACGGCACATAAAAGTTGGGCACTCTAAAAATGGAAGATGCCAGAAAAAACACTAAAGGTGTCGTCGCAGCAACGGCAGCAGCGTTTTTACGCCAAAGGATTTGTCAACTTGAATTTTAAAGCGAGCATACCACATACATACATACATGTAGACTGTCATGATGAGTGCGACACGCGCCAAATGCGATTCAACCAGCACAGCAAATGGAAGATGGAGTCATGAAGCCGGAAGCCGGGAGCAGTAACAGGCGCCAACGCATTTCGCACACAATCATAATCTGACCCCCAATGTCTGTTTGTGTGCTTCAGTGGGTGTGTGTATGGGTGTATTAAGACCATATGTAATTAATTTCTTATTAATTCCAGTTGTATTTGTGTAAGTGTGGTGTGCATGGGATTGAGTTATAAATACACAAATCCCAAACCATATCTCGATATCTCGACCAAACCATGGTCGAATGTTACTCAATCGGTGAGGGATTTTCAGTAAGACAACAAGAAATTGCACAATAGGCACCACAGTATACAACAATCATGTAATTATGTGAACACATTGCTCGTGCAAATTGTCGTATGTATAAATAAATTATGAGAACCTTCATATATATTTAGCTACCTATTTGCTTAAACTGGACGAAATAGGTAATATAATTGAAATTCTATGTTAAACTCGTACTATAAGTGTACATACGTACTTATAATTTATTAAATAAGGAATTTGTAGAAAATCTCCATGCTGTTGTAACTATATACTATTTATTATCCATTTTATTGTTGTGGCATTTAAAGTAAAACATTAAAAATTGCGAGTAGCCACCTAGCGGTAATAATCTGCAACCAATTTACCACATGGTAGATCCAATTTGGCCACCATGTGGTGAGCTTTCGCTTACCAAGTGGTAAATTGCAAAACTCCGTTACACCACTAACGATTCACTGGTTAGTGGCTATACCCTTATCCGTGCAGCTCAAAAAATGCAATAAGAAACTTGCCCCCTTAAATACCTATGTACGAGTATATCCTATATTGGAAATACATCATTGAAATTGACCCTAAAGACACTTTTTCCTTTCACTTTCCTTTGTGCTCCTTTATTTCGACGGGTCAAGAATTAGTATGGAAAGTATGGTGCCGTTTGAGTCGTCGAAGAGAAGTGAGGGTGGACAAGAGCACAGAATTAAACTAAAGTTATTCTTATTTTAAATTCCCATATATATTGTTTCTAACGTTAATAACTTGTATGTAATCAACTAAAGAAATGCATACAATTGAAGAACCTGACAAGCGGTTATTTTAAGAACATATTGAAAATAAATATCTTCAAATCTCATGCACTTTAACAGTGAAGAAGTTTTTTAAGTGCATTCAGAAACACTGTGAAGTTGCAACATATTCGCAGATCCCACCTTACCCATTGCTTAAATATTCAATTCCTAATGGAGAATAGAATATAAGAGAACTGATAGCCAGTCAATACATATGTACTCGAATGTACAATTCCATGGACTTATTTTATTAAATGGAAATGAATCAAATTAAATTCATTTCCGTGGCCGTCAGCGCCGGGGATGCCCAAACAGTTATGAATAAATCAACATTCATTAGAAATATTTATTCAATATTTAATTAAAATATTTGTTTTATATAAGTATTTATAAAGCTATTCGACGACTATTGGACTTTTATTAGTTTTCGTTTAATTAGAATGTAAGAAAAATGTAAGACTTTGTTTTATTAAATATAGCAAAAAGTTAATGGACATAAAATGTTTGCATTTGTAGCTGCGCGTATTGACTAAATCGTTGTGTTTGTTTGCTTGTGCTTTTGTAAATACGAGTATAAACAATGCATATACCGTATGTTTATTGAAAAATACTTCCTCACGCCTTCCATTTCCTTCTCATCACTTCTACAGCTGGCGCTGTTTCCTCGTGGCCTGCCAATAGGTCTGTCTCTGTCTTAATGCATCTTCGCCATTTTGGTACGGACTTTGTACATTTATTTAAAAATTAAACTAAACTAGAACGCAAAGACTTAACTGCTTTTGTTATCATTTGGTGCATTAGTGCATTAAGTAAACAATGGCAGCGATCAACAACGACGCATGCGTCGCAATCTTAGCAGCACTAGAACGGCAGTAGTATTCATCACAGTTGGCATCAGCCAGATTCTTGTAGCGCTGCTGAACCTCGGACCAATTGCACAAGCCTACATTGCACCAGTCGAGCTGCACGGCATTCTGATTGAGGAAGAACACAACCTTCTCCTTTTCAAGGTCGGTGGGACAAGCATATTTGACGGCCACAAAGTTTCCTGCAAACGGATCAATGTTGCTTGTCTTCCAGCGACGACTTGTCAAGCTATTGTAGTTGTCCGCCTTTAGCTGCAGATCGTCCTTATTAATGCCCAATGCGGTGATTAAAGTTTGCAGGCCAGTCGAGTGTCCAAAATAGGCGACCACATGTGGCGAAGCGGGGCTGCTCAGATGGCTCAGCATATCCTTTACGGCACGGCAGTTCAGTCGCGAATTATCTTCGTAGCCATAGCCGGACTTGTAGTAGTACTTCAGATCGTCCTCGTACTCAAGCACTGTAACCTGTTCGGGCAGGAAGGCGGCACACCAGACGCTTGTGCGATCCACCTGCCATGCCTGCTCGTAGCGACACATATCGTACATAAGCAAAATATCGTCAGCAGACAAAGTGTATTGGAATCTGTAACGAACCACATTAAAAACAAGTATTAGCAAGAAAACGTATCAAGCTTATTATCAATACCTACCCCAAGCGTCTAGATATATCAGTTAGTGTGTTGTTCCATAGTGCAGACTGTCGATACTTGTAGCTGTCAGAGTCCGGTCCTTTATAGTTTTGCTCCTTGTACGCAGTGCAGTAGTCGTAAGGACGCAGCAGCAGATCCTCATCAGGAATGTCAACCGCATGTGCAGGATTGTTCTCACCAAACAAACCCTCAGCAAAGGCCTTGAAACTTTCAGTAGTACGTTGAGTGTCGGTGTGGCGGAACTGTGAAAAGATAGAAACTTGTAAGTTCCATATACTGCTATATAGTTGTTCTTGCTACATTTGTATGTACTTTCTACAGTTTTAAAGCTAACGCGCTAAATATTTTCTTAAAGGTTTGTTTTTCGACACTCATTGTAGGGAGATAATTCATAAAATCATCATATTAAATATCATCAGATACATTTTATCACTGATATCGTTGCTAGAAATTAGAATCAAATTCGAAATTAATTTAAATGTTTTTATTTGAATTTACTAATTAAAATATATTTATATACTTTACTTTGAAGTTGTCAGGATTTTCGTGCTGTGTGTGTAATTTCAAAGAATACACCGACTTCCTGTGAAGTTCTGTCAACTTATGTGCCGATGAGATAATCAGATACAACCTGCTTATCTTATCCTACTGTTTTTGAATGCATAAATCATTAAGGAGCACATTTGCGACAAAGGTTTTTGTAACTAATTCCTTTTACCGGAATTAAATATTACATATGCCATATAGATGTTACATAAATTTATAAAATGCTGATAAGTTTGAACATTTTTAATTTACCATGATATTGACGCTAAATTATAATGCCTGATTATATATCTCACGCGAAGGACTGAACTGAAACCCTGACTTCTGTGGACTTTGCTATAAAGTCAAAATTTTAATATATTGCTACTCTTTTTAGTCGAAAGAAGAAAACAAAAGCCAAGAACATTTAAGGAATATTGAAAAAATTATTTCAATCTCTTTAAGGCATTGTACTAATTGATAGATTACTTACTAAGTAGTACGTGTCATTGTAGTTTTTGGTGAGCACTTGAGGGTAGTAGCGCTGATAGAGCTTGGCAGTGCCCCGCAAGTCCTCATAGCCCTGCCTGGTCAAATGCTCCTCAATGTCCACGGTGATGCTGCTATTCCACCTCCACATCTGGATGCCAAACTGATCCTCTTTACATAAAGCATTTGTATCGGGCTGCGTTCGCAGCACACGATAATTTTTCACAATTAAATCGCGCAGCTGTAAAAGATGAAAAAGAGATTACACCGCAGCTCGACAGGTAGTAAATATATTAAGCCTACCTCCTCTAGCCGAGGGGCTGCCTCAATTGTGCTCGGCGTGGGCAGCCGTGTACCATGTCTGTGGAAAATCCACATTTTTATGGGCTCACACTTTGGCACCTGATATTGCTTGTCGATGTTGGTGCCCTTGATGATCTGATAGGCCGTCTTCGAAGTGAATTGACGAGTCTGCGTGCGCTCCTGATCCTTGCCAAAGCAATAATCTTCCTGAGCACTCACCAGTCCATGCAGCGCCAACAGCGCGCAGAGCAGTAAAAATCGCATGGCTGCAAAGAATTAGAAGAAGAAGAACGTGGTTAAAATCAGAGTGGCCCAGCCTTTCGAGTTATGTATGTTTGTACAAAAGTATCCTTGAGCTGTTCGCCTGTCCATTCGCCTGCATATTGACGTGCCGTAATGGCCACGGTGAGTGTCATATGTAGGGTGCCAAGGGTGTGGCCATTTAAATTGCTTTGCTGGCGTCTGCAAGGAGTTAACGTCCGCCAAGACAATAAAAGTAGAACCCGTGCGCCCCGCCAGCACTGATAGGGCTGAGTTCTACCGACATGCGTGGCTCGAAAATCGAACAAATTAAGGCGAAGAAAATGCTCGCTCACACAAACATCCACCCATTTGCATATGACTTTCTCTTTCTCGTTCCCTTTATCTTGTCTATCTCATACACATACTATACGTGTATAGTGTATGCGGCGCCTAAAATTAGGCTAATGATTTTGTGGGATTTTCGCGCTCGCTTGACAAATTGCTGCATTTCTTGCCAGCTGCCCTTAGTCATCAAATTGACCCACAAATGGGTCAAGGTACGTTCGCAGTTGGTCGGACAAACAGCTGCAAGTCGTTCCACACGCCAGCGTCCGGTCATCACGTCCAAAGCTATTTGATTTGTGCCAGTATACGGTTTATATGGCCATTTTGATGCGCCCGCATTAAACGCTCACTAAATTGATTTATCATCAAATTCATGTGCACATCCCCACCCACCGCTCAGGCGTTCCCCCAAGATGGTCTCTTAATGCGCACACAATAGTCGCTCATTTGTTGATTACATTTTAATTGATAGGGTTCGCCGTTCTACTCGTACTCGTATAAGTAACTTGAGACTTTGACTGATATCAAGATATTATGCCGGCGCTTGTATGCTGTTCATAAAATCATGTACAATTAAGTCGTGAGTGGAGAACAATTAAACAGCTGCCCAGCTGGCCTTGACAACAATTTCTTTATCTTCGTTTTTGGAAGCTCTTATAAAGATATATTTGAATAAATCGACAAATTTTTGAACAAAGTCAAAAGGTAAGGAAAAATGCAAAGTAAAAAGGATATTTGCGCGTCCTCGTGAGTATTGCAAATAGAGTTTCTTAAGGCATGTGTTCCTACAAAAGCAAATCTCGATGCAATTGATCCACGCCCAAATAAATTTCAAGTCAAAGATATAGTGCAAAGATTGATTTATGATGAATATTGGAAACACACAGCGACTCTTATTTAACCTTTTACCCACCCATAATTGTAATTTTTTTTTTTACACAGCATCCACTCTAGTTTATGTTATCTCTGAAATCCTGGCCATTTTGAAGTGTGGAAACGAAACAAAATGAGCATTAAAAAAATAATGCAGCGTTTGCCAGTGGGCAAGAAACATAAGCAAATTGCCATATCTTTGTGAGTGAAATATACTTTCAAATACATCACTTCAAAAGGATATATATTGCATGTACATTTGTTGAATTCCTCAAACACTTAAGAAGGCTTAATCAGTTGCTAAAATCGACGAGTTTGCGTGCAAAATATTGTATTACCGTAATATGCCCATCTTTATTAAAATTACGTTTCTCTTACAGTTTGCCATCGGCCGCTGTGTTCGGCTTGGCAGCTGGAATGGCTCTGGTTTATTATACCGATTGGAAGGTAGTGGCAAAGTATTTGCCAATCTACAACACCAAGTTTCCCAAGGAAGAAGAGGAAAAGTAGCAGCCCACATTTTGGATGATTGACAGCAGCTTTTTACTCTACTCTACTAAACATCTCTTGAATCAAATATTAACGATCATGTATTTATTGTGGTAAGATGCATTTTTGTCTCGCGCACATTCGGAAAAAGCAACACGAGAAAAAAAAACTAAAAGTAAAAACAATAAATAATTCAAACCCATTCGCACCCAGTCAACAATCACAGCGGTAATAGAAAAAGCAAAACAAACCGGGGCATAAAATTTAAAACAACAAATAAGGCAACTAATCCGTAAATGCGGCAACTATAAATAGGCGAAATGGTGGCACATCTGTGCCGCTCTACCCGCCATATAATCGGTCCGGCCAGACCGACCAGGCCATACTGGACGGCAGACATTGCACCAGCCGGGGCAGCCTCATTTCCAACTTTGTTTACAACAATCCATTATATCTTTGGATAGGCTGGAGCCGGTGTAGGAGGCGGGCCGACTTCGACCATATAATGCATGCATTGCATAAGATTTCAGCGCCACCTGTGACGTCATCGAGGGCTGTCACTTGTGGCAGGCAGCAAAGGTCAAGCAGCTAAAACGCAAGCCAAACAAATAAGCAGAACGAGAGCGAGCGAGAGTATGTGTCTGTCAGATACAAAATGTGTGCCAAAGGCAACAGGCACGCAATTAGCCTTTAAAGCAATTTACCGCTTATGCAGAGACAATCAACAGGCGGCTCTCTGCTCAATTGCCAGCCGTTTCTGTCAAGGCCAGAGACATTGTCGACAACGCGACGACAGTGTCATCGTTGCGGTTTTGCAAATTAAAAGCCAAACGGCACGCATTTTATTTATGCACACAGCTACGCAAGTTTCAAGTGCAAGCTTAGTGTACTATCGCAATCAGTTGAATAGACACACGCAGCACTTTTCCTAAAACTAAAAGAAATAAACTTATATCTCGACTTAAATATAGTAATTAAATATTTCTTGTCTAGTTCAGGCCAAGCTTATTTTGGTTTATAGAATTAAGTATTTAATAGATATATGATTTGAAAAATTTGTATAACAAGCCCTTGGCGACACAAATCTGCCAAGTTATTTAAATAGAAAATAGGTGTCACTTTTTATATCCTTCACTGAAATGTAAAAAGGTATGTATATTACCTTTGGTATGTTAGCTTATAATACCCTGAAGAAAAATGGTAGACTACATGTTATAGACACATATAGTAAGTACGATCGGCATGGCAAGTGGAATCCAAATCGTGTTGTTCATCTGTCTGCTTCAGTTACTTCTTTTAAAGCCATCGTTGAAACATTGCACTGAGGCTTCTTTTTGATGTTAATAGACCGCCTATAACAGATCTCTTAACCATACAAGTATAACTGTCAAAGAAGCGATGTGATTTTAAAATAGTTTTTCTATCAGAAACTTGTTTATTTCTGAACATACTTGTATGGGAATTACATATTGAGAATTTTACAGTCATATCTGAGGGATTTGCAGTACTTGAGTGTATCAAATGGTGACTATAAATGCCAAATTGCGAAATTGGCAAAAAAGAGAATTCTAATAAAATATAAGATATTAGTACAGGAAGAGTAGGGTAATTCGCGGCCCATGACCAAGGAGTTTAGGAGGTCAATTGCTTTTGAAGCAGACAAAGATAACATTTTATCTTATTCTTTTCCAGTGAACTCATCTCTTTAAATGAATGAATTCGACCAACACTATTATTTATTTTAATGAAATTAACATTTGTAATGTAAATAATTATATTTTTCTCGAAAGTAAGAACATAATAACATGCATAATAAACTTGATTAAAAAGCCCTTTTTATAGCTATGTTCCTACTTTCAAAACAAAATTGTGCTTTTAATTAATGAAAAAAAAAAGCAGTGATGAATGAATAAGTATACATAATAAAGGCTCTAATGAGGGTACTAAAACTGTATTATGTTTTAATTAACATAATGGAATCTCAAAAGATTTATAATATAATTATTTTTCTGCCCCCAATCCCCAAAGCCCTCAAACAGCAAAAAATAGCTATTTTAAGATCAGCTTCATTTACTATTTCTTTTCTTTTCTGTGTAAACAAAATGACAACAAAATTGCATTGCTATTGGGCTAATATTATGTTAAAGTAGTAGTTTTTAGCATCAATACTGTACTGTTGAACAATAACTCCAAATATGTTAGCCAATTAGTTGTATTAATTATGAATTTTGTGTTTAAAAACAACTTTATAGGTAAAAGCTCAACTTTATGAATAAGTAAATATTTTAGATATGTTTCGTTTTTGATTGATTTCCTTTGCCCTTTTAAAAATGTTTCCCATCCAATTTCTGAAAACTTCATTAATTAATTAATTAATAGTCTGTTCATTTCTATATTGTCCCTTTTCCACTTCCAAATTTCACCTGAATGATTGTTTTCTATTTTACTTTTTAAACGCCTTTCGAACTGGAGATGGGAACATACTCGTACTACATTTATAAATAATTATGTTCAAATATATACTCGTATATATTGGTATTTACTGTCCCTATTTAATTGATTGTGAATGTATCTGCATAGTTGCATACAAATTGCATCAAATAAACGTCACGCGCCACCAACGACCGTGCATCTAATGGATGCGAATATTTGTATATTTGCAGATGCATTACAAACGGGCTTGATACATACATACGAGTACATACATACTTACTTAGCTTCATATCGTATTTGTATCTTAGGCCTTAGTCGTGGGGGCGCGCGCGCTCTCTATCTGTAATTGTCAGTGAAAAATTCACACGCCCCTGCAATTGAATGCCCTGCCTTTGTTTTTCATTTGCTAGTATTTCCAATGCCTGCCACTTGCCACTTTTGTTTGTTCAATGCAAAATTAAAATTCCAAATTGACTGCACTTAGCTCGATATGTGACTCGAAGTCTATACTTATACATACGTGTATATACAAGTATGTGTATACGTATTTTTAAATATGTGCATACACTATATACTGAGGTATTTCTAGCGATATTCTGCCGCCACTGTTAATTATAGTTTAATAAATTTATTTATGCGATTTAAAACACATATCGCGTAAATATTTCGTTGGTATATATTTCGTTGGCACAGGCGTAATATAACTATGTATTTGTTTTATATTTATGTTTTTCGCTTTCGTTATGTACGTGACGTTTTTGCGAATTTTCCTCAATGCTTGTTGTTGTTATTGTTTTGCGTTTCCATTAAATTTTCGCGTAGTAATTTGGATGTCTCGGCTATTGCCACGTTTCAGAGCTATTTGGAGCATATCATAAATCAAATAGAGATTTTCATATGAGTTTTATGGGCTAAGCAGCTGCTTGGAATTTGCAAAATTTATGCGCTTGAATTACAAAACTATAAAATTTCACTAATTTTTCAATGACGTTTGCAGCCATCCACTAAAGTCAGAGCCATTTGGTTGCTGATGCTGATGCTGTTGCTTCCAAAAAAAATATCAAAGAACACAAATGTGAAGCATAACATGACATCAATCATCTTAATAGACAAAGGCATTTAATTGATTTGTTATGCGGTTGCCTGCCTGCCTGCCTGTAGTCAGCCGATCTAAATACATAAATTGTTGGCGCTCCAAATTGGAGCACAGATTGCGTGGCCAGCCGCGTAACGAACAGTGTCGATAGTGCGTTCAACTTGGGAGTGTGAATGGAACACTTTTATCGTAAATAATGCCTCCAACAATTATGCCCATGGGAACCACTACTGTTTATTTATTTTCTCGGGTGCGAGATGTTATCTATAGTATTCTTGTGTATTCAAACATGCTCCAGAAATGTTGTAAAACATGAAGTAAAATATTGATATTCCAGTGCTATCTATAAGCAAAAATCTAATTTTGAAATCTCTCAAAGAATATAAAAAATTGGTGAAGGAATCACAGAATCCTTTATTCAAGAATGAACAAAATTTGACCTTACAATGCTACAGTCGTTTATTTTTTCAACGAGGCATCGTATTTTAAAAAGAATAAAAAATATTAAATAAATGTAAGATATAAATGATTTATGTAATAATTTGTTTTTGCTTGTAAGATTTTATTTCAAATCATAAACTTTTTTGCGCATCTTAATGGTTTTTTAGACTGACAGACTGGCCACTGACCCCGATTTGGGTTAAATTCCTAAATAAAGCATTTTCTAAGATTCTCTAGATCCATTTCAAAGTACCAAAGTAACTGAAGGTAAGTAAAGTAAATGTTGTTTTAGACTCCTATCTAAGGCCTTACTATATGACTTCTGACCTATATTTACTTAAAACGTAATTTTTTGGTGAAGAAACTAGGAGACAAATTCGACACAATCAACTCTAATGGGCTTCCCTTCTGTATTAATGTAATTCCACCCCACTCGGTACAACATTTTGGTGATTGAGTTCTTTAAAGAGTTTATGACCTTATTATACATTTTAATACTAGAAGGAACATTTTTTTTAAAAAGATTAAGTGAAACTTGCTATACTTGTGTCATAATTCAATGCCAACATGAATGCAAACATTATTTCTATTACCTTTTATTATTCAGATGTATGCAATTTTTAAATCCTTTATAGACGAATTAGTTAATGTCCAATAAAACAAATCAATTTCTTACAAATTATTTGCATAAAAGAAAAGTTAAAATAAGAACAAAGCACATATTTATATTTAATAGGATAGGCAAATGCCAGACCACTAAAGCTCTGGTTTGTTTGCATTCGACGCATTTTAAAAATTTAGTTTGTATTACTTTCACTATAAAATTAGATAGCATTAAATTAAGGCATATATTGCTTCACTAGAGATGCCCCACAAAATCGACCCAATCAAGAATGTGGAGCAACGGTTCAGAGGGGGTTATCAAATAGAAAGTACACGCGATCAATTTTGGCGGCAATGTTTTTCTCGCGTCTTCGTCGCGTTTTTAATCGCCCTGTCCATCTGGACAATTTGCACTGACATGCTAAGAGTGAGAAATTGCAACTGTAATTGTATTATATCACACATGCCATTGGAAATTACTTTGCACTTCCTTTGCATGCATTTTAATTAGCGTCGAATTGGGAAATATTGAAAAACAGGTAGTGATAGGCAGTGATCTGACGGCTATCATGCGGTACTCGCTGGTTGCTGTACGCCATCCAATTATCATAATAGCATACACAAGTGTA